CCATAGAGATTTTGTCCGGATAACGATTCAGTGACTAAGGATACTTTGTCCCTGAACTTGCATTTTGTTAAGTGGGAAAGAGTGGGATGGAACCCATTAAGATTTGCATGGAGTCGAGATTTACTACGCTACACGTGAAAGCGCGTAACCTCCCATGCTCGACCCTCTCGTCGATCCGCCACAACACCCTCCTTCCATTCCCGATCGCACATGTAGAAAGTGTGTACTCCGATGCGGATGTGCGAAGTGCGTTGTTGCGAACCGACCGGGTTCATCTGTACAACCCGTCCAAGGCTTGTCACGTAGGGGGGAGTGGGTTTGTTCCGATTGATCAGTTTTCTTTCCCACCCCTGATCCTACCTTATACTGATTTGGCGGTGCTGCCTTGGTCGGCGGCCCACGCCACGTGGCGGCCCCAATTTAACTGTCGCTGGTGTCGACAAGGAGACTCGTGTTCCTGGCGGAGGCTGGTGCTAGAATACGAAGGATTGGCTCGGTTCCTAGAGCCTGGGTTCCCCCCGACCCACCCCAATCAAATGACGACGCCCCTGGCCGACCCCGCGGGCTTGATGAATCTGACTCGGAGACATAGATGCTTCTTATCTCTTGGGTTCTTGCAATAGAGTTGGTGAATCTGGCGCGAGAAAAGTGGTAGTTCCTGCGTTCTCCCTTTTTCTTCCTGATGCTTAACGGTGGGTGCGTCGCACGCATTCGCTGGCCCCCTACGAAGCGGAATTTTGGTCATTCCCCACTCGTCGGCCCTGTTTACCCCTCGAATCTCCGATTGTTTCTTAGCCCTCTATGTCGATCTTAATTTTTGGAGTAACCTCGGAATGAAGCGAGAATCCCCCGTTCCTTCCGGGTGATTCAACCCTTGCCTCAAAATCCTCGGCCACGCCCCCAATTAGTCTAATCGGGCGTCCCTCGGTACGAAACGCCGTGCGGGGCGTGAGGTTGCGCATCACAAGCCCGTTTTGCATTTCTGGCCTCCGAAACTGCCCGCACCCGATATACGGGAAAGGTACTGGTGGTTTAAATGTCGACGACGCCCCTCCTCTGCACTCAGCACACCGACCATCATCTGTGGTGATGCCTTCACAGAGCTATGCTCCCTCCCATTGACCCAGCCCTCAAGACACCCCCCCCCACCCCCAAAGGTGCCCCATGGAATGGTGCCCTCCCCCTGACAATCCCCTAAGTACCCCATGTATCATATCATCTCATCTGTACGGTGCTACCGTCTTCCCCCGAACATAACGCACCCTGATAATGAATATACAGACTATCTTTCCGTCCCGATGCAGTCAAAATGATGGTGCGTTGTGTTCGGGGGAAGACGGTAGGCTGGGGGGCAAGTGCGTAGGGTGTCAACCTAACCCCAACCAACGGGGCCCTCGATTGGGGTTCGAACCCTGTACCTCTCCTTTCTAACGCCAGTTCTCTAACTAACTGAGCTACCTTCTTCCCCCGAATACAACGTACGGTCGTTACAGCTGTATCTAGACAGAAAGATCCCTCAAATACGGCTATATTGACCGTCCGTTGTATTCGGGCGAAGAAGGTAGCACGTCTCGCCGCAGGACTGCGCACCAATCTCACAGAGCGTTGGGGAAAAAAAAAAAAAAAAAAAAAAACTCACAGTGCATTCAGCTCTGTGCCCACCTCATCTGGAATACTATTCTATACTATTCTAAGGGCCCGATCCAGTACGCAACGTTCATCATGTATCTGGATAGATAAGTTGTAAAGATACATCCCGATGGATCGAACTTTTTTGAATGTACTGGGATCGTTAGCAGGTCCAGACACACGTTTCACGTATTGTGAAGCGGATCAAGGCTCTACTGTCACACACATATAGCTTTTGGAAGTCGGGATACTCGAAGTCGGCATACTTGCACAAGTTCTTTTTTGGGTCGCGGCCAGCGTTCACGATCGCGCTCGCAGCGGGATGCAGGGAGGCAAAAAAAAAAAAACAAAAAAAAAAAACAGGGGCCTCGCTCCACTAACCACCAGATGCACAAAAGACAAGAAATATGGCAATGTATATTTCCATTTTATAGCGGAATATTCATTCTGATTTTGCACATTTGGGGAGTAGTGGAGCAAGGCGCCAGAACAGATCGCGATTGCATCGGATTTCCGAGGGACAAAAAAGCAGATTGCGCATCGCATGATTCTTTTTCCAGGGAAAAATAAAATAAAATAAAAAAATGGAAAGACGGGGAGCAAAAGGACAAACAGGCTACCTGTGCGCTAGAAGGGACGAAAATTTCTCGTGTACCTGGCCTTAATTCACGCACTCATTCTGAACTCGAATGGATGTGGTGGAGCTGCTTGGGGTAGATGGAGGGAGTGGAGGGAGAGGAGAGGCTCGTCCGCCAAGCGGCCGCTGTTGTACCTCTCTCCACTAAAGGACATAAAACAATATGGCGGTGTAAGGAAAGATTCATTCATTCTTTTTTTTTTTTTTTTTTTTTTCTGTTTTTAAAAAGGGCGACGGCCTTGAGATATTATCGAGCTGATCCGCCCCAGGCAATTCATTAGTAGTTGGTTTTACTCGTCGAGTTCCATCATCTGGATTCGAACACAAGTCTGTATTTTAACAACTCATGGGTGTACCCACTCAGCTAGGCTCCTGGGTGATTTATTCATTCTCGTTTTGCACGTTTGCTGAGTAATGGAGCGAGCCCCGCCGTTGTCAGGTACTTGCCGCCCGGGAAAGGAGAGAGGATACTTTTTTTCTTTTTTTTTCTTCTTTTTGAGCTACACTTTTATAATATAAGCCGCAACAAACAAAAAAAATAAAGAAAAGTAAAGAGAGGGGGAGGAGGGGGAGGCGGAGGGGGAGGAGGAAAAAAGGAAAGGGGGTAAAAAGAAGGAAAAAGGTGGTGTTGCCTGCTGGGACGAGGTCCAACTAGCAAAGTGGATTGGATTGGACTCCTGAATCTGGACATCTTTGTGGAAAGGTGCAGAAAGGCGAGATTGAACTGCTTCTCTGCACCTCTGGTCAAAACGCGTCCAGATTCAGGAGCTTCATCCAATCCTTTTTGCTAGTGGGACCTCGGCCCTGCTGGTTGTGTGTGGCACCTCGCTGGCGAAGGAGTGTTGTGGGATCCGTTCAGGAAAAGAAGGAAAAAGCAATAAACGATTATATTTCAAAACATGAATGAAAAAAAAAAGCTACCACCAGCCGTTGTGAGCGGGACGGGGCCAAAAAAAATGAGTGGATGGTTCTTGGGGCTGAAACACCGTAGTCGTAGGGGGGGGGCAGGCAGGGGCTACGGGGAGCGGCGTATCCGCCGTCTGGAGGGGGAAGAAAAAAAGACGATGACCAGGCAGGTTAGGGGTAGGGAGAAAAGTGACCAAGGGGGTGAAAAGGGGGATGAGGGGGAGGAGGGGGTGGAATTCCGCAACCTGGAACCGCAAGGAAGCGACAAACCAGGGACGTGCGCGCGCGCGCGCGTGTGCGAGGGGAGGGGAGGGGGGTTGGGGAACAAGGGGGTACGTGGTGGAGGAGGGGGAGCGCAGCAGTAGACGCGGATGCTTGAGGATGAGAATCATGAGATCCGCCGAAAGCAAGAGCGAGGGAACGAGTCGCAGGACACCAGTATCGTTGTGGATCAGGCAGTTCGAGACCGAAGCTCAGCAACTCAAACAGAGAGAGAGAGAGAGAGAGAGAGAGAGAGAGAGAGAGAGAGAGAGAGAGAGAGAGTAGCATCGCCGGCTATCGGTGTCGATCACGTAGTACTCGATCGATCGAGCGAGCGAGCGAGCGAGAGAGAGAGAGAGAGAGAGAGAGAGAGAGAGAGAGAGAGAGAGTCGACGCGGATCGGCAACCAGGAGTAGCATAGGAGGAGAGACGGTCAGAATACAGAGAGACAGAGAGAGAGAGAGAGAGAGAGAGAGAGAGAGAGAGAGAGAGAGAGAGAGTTGTGGGACTGAGAGGGCCCGGAGATGTGTGTGGGCCTAGCTAGAGTGATTCGCGGTTCGAATTGCATTCGCTCAGAGGTTTCAGGTTTGGCTGGAGAGAGAGAGAGAGAGAGAGAGAGAGAGAGAGAGAGAGGGCCGTAGTATGCAAGGAGAAGGTAGGTGAGGGTGGTGGATCGTGAGTGGGGAGAAGATTGGGAAGAGAGGCGAATCGTTGTCGGAGGGGGGTGAGAACGGTGAAAGGGTGATCGATTGGCAACATAGTCATAGTCAGTCTGGGATTTTGCAGGATGTATCGGGCCGTAATTCCGGGTGGTACGGGATGTATCTGACCGCAATTCCCTCCACAGATCGTCGCAGAAGTCTTTGTGGTGAGTAGGCCCTGAGATTAACAGTCTGATGTTCCACGTGGCAGCAGATCAGCCTTTCCAGATCTATTAGGATTTATGACTGGTATATCCCATGATTATTGACATGAGTCATTCGCGTTTGAAATTCGATCGCGGGCGCTTTCAATTCTTATCCTTATCAATATCCTTACCATCCTCCTCCTCCTCCTCCTCCTCCTTATCATCCTCCTCCACCTCCTTATCCTCCTCCTCCTCATCATCATCATCATCTTCATCATGTTCTTTCCTTCTTCCTGTCGAGATGACGCGTGTGGATCCGATCAACATGCTGACGCGGCAGGCTGTCTTCGCTCCACGTGTCCTATTCAAGGCCTATGGCAAGGACGGAAGCAGATGACAGGGAGGAGGAGGAGGGGCAAGAGATTGGGAGGAGGAGGAGGTGGTGGGGATCTGCAGCCTAAGGGTTGGGATCAGCAGAAGAGAAGACAATAATGACGATGCCGACGGAGAAGGCTGAGAGAGAAGCAGTATAGCTCGCTGGCTTGTCGTCTATGGCGGCAGCTTTGGCTGTCTTCTTGGGCCACACCAGTCTCTCTTGATTACACCAGCTCTCTTGATTAAGATGCCCCCTCCGTTCCCCCGCCTGTTCGAGCCCTCCCTCCGTTCCCCCGCCTGCCCGGTGTGGAATCAGGGTACTTACTATATCCCGTTACGGTAGCCGTTCTCTACAGTTTTTTGGGGCAAGCATAGCTGTTTTTGGAAAGAACTTGAGCGACTAATTAGCGAAGTAGTAGTGATTGGATGAGTGGCAAAGTAGTAGTGATTGGACGAGTGTGGGTGAGGAGAGGGAGAAGTGGATGATGTGCAGCAGCAGAAGAAGACTGGAAGACAACGGAAAAGAAGAAGAGGAGGAGGAAGAAGAGGGAGAAGAGGGAGAAGGTAAGCTACATAGTCATGGCGGCAATGCTCTTCACACGCAATCGAAAGCACTCGTTTCAATCTCAATCGCGTACAAGAGAGTAATTTTGTCACTCCGGGCACCCGTAAGACGTTACGCAAGAGTAAGAAGAGAAGAGTGGGTGATCGCAAAGAAGAGGAGGAGGAGGTGTGAGGAAGAGGGGAGACAGGGAGGAGGAGGAGGAGGAGGAGGAGGAGGAGGAGAAGAGCGGAGAGAAGGATGGCTGGTAGCTATTAGTTCGAATTGCGTAGATAGAATATATTATTTGGAAATTAAGGGGGAAATTGGCGGATGGAAAGGGATAGAGAGAATTAGGGAGAGAGAGAGAGAGAGAGAGAGAGAGAGTAGCCGTTGGACAGGTCTGCGATCGTGGAGAGGATGTTGAGTAGTAGTAGGTGGTTTTGTGTGATGCCCGCGATCTTACAGTGCCTCTGTAGATCAGGAGTTGGGAGATGAGGTCTGAGGAAAGACAAGTGTCGGGATTATTATTATATTACATAAATTAATATATTTTTATTTTGTAATACTTGTATAGGATAATAATAATTATATAAAAGTAATAATTATCATAATATAATACTAGTAATAATAATAATAATAATTGGCGGCCTTTCAAGGTGTGTATCGAGATCTCAGGTTTTGGGTTTTCTTTTTTCGGTCCTTCGTCGTTGCTTGTTTCTTCTTCTTCCTTCCTTCCTTTTTTTATTTTCCTTTTTTTTTCCCAATTCTTCTTCTTCCTCCTTTTTTTTTTTTTTTTTCTCAATTTTCAATTCTTCTTCCTTCTATTTTTTTTTTCTTTTTTTTTCCCTCCTTTTTTTTTTCTTCTTTTTTCTTCCTCGGCGGCGGGGGCAGGGTCGTCAAAATCGAGCTGACGTGGCTTCTTGGACACTTGACACGTGGCGGGCGGGCCAAGTGGAAGGGACAGCGGAGCTATGGCAGCCGAGGCCGACATGGCGCTGGAGTTTTGTGGCACATGGAACGAAAGGCAACGATGTTTCCCTGAACATTCATCGTCATCGTGCGGCTGCTTGTCTGTCGGGATCTCGTGCCTTATCCGAAATGGATCGTGAATTAAGAACGGTGGGTCCATCGAGCAATGGCGGAGCGCCACGTGGCACGTTTTTAAATGATGCTGACGACAATCCAATTGCAGAAACGGTAAAATAATTACTAATATCTTTTCCTTGCTTTTCATATTAGTGTGGTATGTCCTCGTCAGCGCGTCCCCTCCCTCCCCCCTTTCCCCCTTCCCCCTTCCCCCCCCCCCCCCCCCCCCCCTTCCCCCCTTTTTTTTTTTCCCTTTTTTTTTTTTTTTTTTTTTTTTTTTTAAGGTCGCAAAGTTATGGAAATGTGAATGCGATGCCTTCCGTCACGCCTGGAGGGACGATGCTGACCTGTCGAGGTTGGATCTCGTTTGTCGGGATTGGGATTGTTGGGATTGGGAGAGAGCGGCGGTCTCCTGCAGGGCTGGACGATATGGTCCTTTTTTTTTTTTTTTTTTTTTCTCGTGCACAGAAAGAGGAAAAAAGAAAAAAGAGCACAGAAAATACAGTATCCTTCCTTATTTGCATTAAAAACATATTTAAGAAAAAAAAATCAATGACAATTCTTCCACAGGCAGTCTGACTGACTGATCGTGAAGGCCCCTCCCCCCATCTGTACGCTGCTGCCGTTTTTTTTTTTTTTTTTTTTTTTTTTTTTGAGCTCAGCACATCGATTCAACTATGCTGCTGCCGCGTGATCAATGCATACTTTTACAGATCGTTTCCTTTTTTTTTAATAAATATATTTTAGCGATCGAATCCCTCTTTTCTCGTCCTGCTCTCTCCTCCTCTCTCGCCCGGCTGCTGCTGTGATGGCGGCTGAAATGCTGCATGCTCGTGGTAGGCCAGATGCACCGCCCATACGAGAACTGTTTGGACTGAACTCGGCTGTAATTTGTGGTCAGATACATTCAGGAAAGCACTAGCTTGAAGATGCCACTAGTCTGCAGGTCGATCATGATGATGAGACGGCGGAGGGGTGCGAGTGCCCCGTCGATATAGGTTATGTTATTATTATTATTATTTTTTTTTTCAGAGAAAGATTCAATATCATTATTAATCAGCAACAATTTGTATATTTATTGTTCGTATAGTTTTGTACAATTAAGAAAAATATAATATAAGAAGAAGTGAAGCTGTACTGCTACCATAGTTTGGATCCGAGATCATAATAAGGACGTTCTCACAACGACCCGATTCTCGACGGAATCTGACTCGAGCTTACGACCAGATTCACCTGGTGAAGTCTTATTCTGCGTGTATATACTTAGTGTATATAATCTAATTACTTGTACTTTTAAATCTCATAACAAAGCTGATTCTTGTCCGAATTGTAGTCGAGTTTACGACCAGATTCACCAGATGAAGTCCTACTCTGCGCATATATACGTAGTACAGAATCTAATTACTTGTACTCTCGAACGAATCTTACTCGAGTTTACGACCAGATTCATGACCTGCGTTGAGGATAATAAGATGATCATGATCGTGTTATGGATAAGCAGGTAGATGAGATGAGAAGTTGACGATTCGCTATTTCTCTTTTAATTTTTATTTTTTAAATTAATGTTAATTAATTTAATTGCTGGAGAATTAAGTTGACGGTAATAATGTTATTCCTTTGGTGTCTCCGTGACTTTTTTTTTTTTCTTTTTTTTTTAAACTTTATCGTGTACGTTGGAGATGTTTTTATTATCTATTATTATTAAATTAAAAAAATTGAAATTCAAAATATAAAAAAGAAGGTGATAAGATGTATACGTTATTCCTGTGCTATGCGTACCATCCTTATGATGGATCCTCAAATCTCAAAAAAAAAAAAAAAAAGAAAGGCCAAAAAAAAATCCTCAAAAACTTGGGAAAAAAACAAGAAAACGAGCGAAAAAAGAGGTGATCCTCAAATTTGCCACGACTCGCGTGGGCGTTTTATTCAAATAGAACGCATGATAACTGTAATATTGGTGATCCTGTCTCTCGCCGTTTGCAAGAAAGATCGCGTCAATAATATTCGTGATGTTTAGCTCTTGAGATTTTCGTCGAACTCTTTTTTTTTTTTAATTAATGTCCTTATTTATTTCGAGATTCCGATCGATGTATGGCATATATGTACAACAGGAGAATGTATATGGTGACGAATTAAAAAAAAAAAAAAGAAAAAAAGATCGGAGTGTTCTATTTGAAGGGTAGAAACGTTTTGATCGTTTCCTCTAATAACAACTCTTGACGAATGTACGAGGTGTAGTGGGAAAGAAAAAAAAAAAAAAAAAAAAAAAAAAAAAACACGTTAATTAAAAAAAAACTGAAAAGGGATTTTTTTAAAAGAAAAGGTCTTTCGTTCCCACGAAAGGTCTGAGAGGAACTTTTCTAAATTGCCTTAATAGGAAAGAAGAGTGCAAGAGAGAGAGTCTCAATCGATCAAGATCTGTAGCGTTGGCCACGAGATAAGCTCAACGTTCACGTTATTGGTATTGGTTCCAGATTTACTTATTTAGGAAAAGAGGAGAAATCCCTTAGGGTTGGTCTGGTCCTGCTCACCTTTTTTTTTCTTTTTGGCCCTGATGATGGGGTGAATGGGAGGTAGGCGGACGGTGTAGTTGGTTTTCGGCGGTCTCTTTTTTTTTTTTTTATCTTGTGTTTGGGGACTGTGCTCGTTGACTGACGAGTCCAGAATCTCGAATTCGAATATGATAAAAGAATATAATATAATTAATTACGTAATAATTAAAAATTATGAAAGTAAATAAATGATTTGTGGCGTGGACTGGACGTGTTACGCGTTTTTTTTTTCGCTCAGCTGAAGGGTTGCAAGGGACCCTACTCACCCTAGTACTTTCTTCTTGAATTGAATCTGGCTTGAAATCAGGTCAGATACTCCCAGTACTTTCTTTTTCTTGAATTGAATCTGGCTTGAAATCAGGTCAGATACTCCCAGTACTTTCTTTTTCTTGAATTGAATCTGGCTTGAAATCAGGTCAGATACTCTCACTTTTACAATACAAGTGTCAGCCAGCTCGAAGTTGCATCTTTCCGTTATGCGTGTCGGTGTTTCCGTTCCGTTAGCTTACGGAGAGCTTTCCGGCGACGTTCTCTTGTGGATTGAATCTGGCGTGAAACGAGGTCAGATACTTCCCGAGGATATCTGGGTTCCGTTAGCTGACACAAATACTCGAGCTCCAACGAAATCCCTTGTCGTAATCCCATTTCGTCTTTTCGTCCCTATTTTTTTTTTTTTTTTCCCTTCTTTCTCCGTCCTCCCTTTTTTTTGGTTTCCTTTTTTTCCCCTGTCTCTGTTATGCCTCTCTCTCTCTCTCTCTCTCTCTCTCTGTGTCTCTCTCACACACACACACACTGACCTTCCTGCTTATTTGCAAAAAAATAAAAACCCAATTCCTGCTTTATTCATTGTGGACGCTGCCGCATCACTCTTCCCTCGTCCTTTGTCCCATTCGATCTTTTCTTCTTTCTTCCCCCCCGCCCCCTCCTCCACCCCCCGGCCCCCTTTCCTCCCCCCCTGTTCGATCTCCTCTCGACTGTCGATGATTGGTCGTGCGTTTCGTCGGGTTCGTTTCTTTTGGTTTCTTTTTTGTTTCTTGTCTGTGATAATAATAATAGTAATTGCTCATTATTGCTGTGAAAAGTGTATGCGGATTTGGTGTTTGGTGTGGGCCAAGTGTCGATCTGTCGTTCGTCCAGTGCCCGTAGTCTCTCTCATTTCTTCATCTACTTACTTATTTACTCATCATTTTTCTAATCTACTCTTCTTCGTTTCTCCTCTCCAATCTAGTAGTGTTGTTTTACCGGTACTCCTCTCTCTCTCTCTCTCTCTCTCTCTCTCTCTCTCTCTCTCTCTCTCTCTCTTTGTGTGTCTGGCTTTGTCGCTCTTCGGACAGTCATTCTTCGGTTGATTTCCTTTCGTTTCATCGAATCAGGTCCTCTCTCTCTCTCTCTCTCTCTCTCTCTCATATATATTAGTCGGCGTAACGCGTTCTGGCGAGTCCTTAATGGTCTTTTCCATTCTTGTCTTTTTTTTTTTTTTTTTTTTTTTTTTGTCGCGGAGTTCGTCGTATTTTCTTAGGCTACTAGTAGACACACCATTTCTGGATTTCCGTTTCGGTCTTGCTAATCGTCAATCATGGCAGGATCTGCTCAGTCAAAGGCTTGACGGATTTGCACAAAAACGGGAAGGATGGACGATTTAACAACCACAAACGGAAATACGTCGTAGCTAACGGAGATCGATCGGCTGCCTATCCTCCTCCTTCCTCGGTACAAGCGGAAATCGGTACGAACGGAAATTGACACAAACGGAAATCGGACACAAACGGAAATCGGTACAAACAGAAAAGTGCTCAAACGGAAATCGGCGCAAACGGAAATCGTAGCAACGGAAATCGTCGTCACAAATGCAAATCGTCACAAACGGACATTGGTACAAACGGAAATCGGTACAAACGGAAATCGTCACCAAGTTAAACGGAAATCGGTACGAAGTTCAACGGAAATCGGTACAAACGGACATCGTCACAAAGTTAAACGGAAATCGGTACAAAGTTAAACGGAAATCGGTACCAACGGAAATCGTCACAAAGTTCAACAAACGGAAATCGATACGAAGTTAAACGGAAATCGCTACAAACGGAAATCGTCACAAAATTAAACGGAAAAATCGGCACAAACGGAGAATCTGTGTCGCGTAAGATTGCTATAGTAAATGATGGGATTCGCAAATGGTGAAAGTTTACGGACGTGCGAATTCGGGTTTGACTGACGGTGGAAATCTATAAGGAAAAAAAAAAAGAAGCAAAGAAATTAGATCACGGGAAAGGAAATTTGAGAAAATAATAATACTGGAAACGCCTTAAGAGCTGTATTTTGTCTACTTGTTGAATATTGTTTTGCTATGTATACATTAATACGACGTCAAGTTTTTCGAAATGAGTAGCGGGGAAGGACACAGTCAAGGTGCGGGGTTGGTTGGGAATATGAAGGTTCGGGGAATTATCGGTTTCGGTAACTATGGGATTGAATTCTCAGAGGAATCAAGATGTTAATTCCGTTTCGCCAAAAAAAAAAAAAAAAAAGTGTATTCCTATCCGGTAGCGCTAACGGTAATGG